ATGACCAATTAAGCAAAATATCATGTTAATAAATTATACTGAAAACGAAATTATTAAATTAGAAAAAAAAGTATATAATATATTAAATGAATCTGTTATTTATAGTTCATCATATGGTAAAAGAAATTTCTAGTTGATAGAGAAGAAGAAAAAGAGAAATTATATGGAAAACAAGTTGCAAAGCAATCTCAAAAAAAAATATACTCGGATGAGAGTTAAATTAACGATGATAAAGATAGTAATGAGAATAAAAATGGATATCACACTAAACTAGGGGGATAAGGAACAAGGGTTTCATATGCAGGAGGAGTTATTTAGGTGTTATTTATCTGTTATGGAACCTCATTATAGAATATTTGCGGAATTGCGAGGAAAAAATAGGAGATGGTTCAATGAATAAATCATTTGAAGTTAATGCTGCAATTAAAAAGGACGATAACGAACAGGACATAGTAGATTATTTTGACATAATTATCAAACTCAATGTTAAATACATATCTGTAAATATAAAAATATATAAATATTATTAAAAAATACATTAAACTGGAAGACATCCAAAAATTATATTACATAAAAACAATAAATAAAAATATATATAATAACTAAATATATTTTTAACAAAAAGAATACACACTGAATATTAATTTTACAGAAAAGTAATAATAATAATAATAATAGTATATAAATGTATACAATATTTGTTATATTTAAAATATAATGTTATCATAATATAATTACAACTATCTATTAAAATATATATGTATAACTTATAATGAAAAAACATTTTAGAGAAACAAAAAAAATTAAGTATAAAAAAAATATTTCATAAAAAAAAATCATTTAAAAAATATAAATAAAACTCTCAATATTAACAGTGAACACCGAAAACTGCACCATGAGGAATAAATCCTGAACACCTAACCCTTAAGACTAAAATGATAATTCCAGATACTATACACTAAACCAAAAAAAACTGAAAACAAAATACAAAAAAATGAATACATAAACCATAAAATTAAAACAATAATAACATATCCTATACAATAGACCCTAATAACATAAACATAAATACTGAAAAATAAAATCAAAATATGAAACATAGGACCCCTAAACCAGAACCCTAAACCTAAACCCTGAAATTATAGAACAGCTTGCACAATTATATGTTTACAATTTGTTATTTTTCTAATAATTATTCTTCTTGTAACTAGATATATTATAAAATGGATGGAATTTATGTTTTATTAATTCAAATATTTATCCTTAATTATTTTATCCTTCTTGTATTTTTTTCTTTTTTTCTACTAATCTCTGGTAATATCAAGTTCTCAAATAGCTGTTATAATTTTTAATATTCAAATGCTTATTATAAATGTTTACTAACTATAAATTTTAATCAAAATGAACACGTCCAGTATGATAGGATATAAATGATCTCCTCTCTTGAGGATATTCAAATAAAGATTCTAATTCATCCACTGATAATACATCCACTGATAATTCATCCTCTGATAATTCATTTAGAAGTTTACCATAATTATATCTGCTAATTCTTTTTTTCTTTAAACCCCTTTTATGCATCTGTGACCCAAATGTAGTAGAATAATACGAAAAATAAAATAAATAAAAAAACCCATAAATAATATATAACATAGTCATAAAGGAGTACTAAATATTAATACAAATTAATATATATATTATAAAATATATATATGTTAGTGTTGGGTGTGCATTTACATTAAAATTATAGAAAAGGTAAATAATAGTTCCCATTATTGAAGCACCTAGGAATAAGGAGGTTAAATAATCTGATTTTATTAATTTATTTATAGTTTCTGCAATATCATGAAAAAATGTAATAGATTCACTTGTACCATTGCTTACTTTATTCTTAGTTTTATTTATTATTTGCAATTTTGCTTCTAATATATTTAATAATATATTGGGGTTAAAATCATAATCACAGTCAATATAGGCATAACAAAAATCTTGTTTAAATTTCAATGGATCAAAATTTTCTTTCTTTTCATATATGCTTTTAATATAGGTGATATATTCCACATATTTTTCACATTTTTTTTCATTTTCATTATTACAATTAATATATTTAAAATTTACATGATAATCGTGTAAATCCTTCTCTTCTTTCCAGACTAACGGAGTTCCTGAAAAAGCGCAATTGCAAGATGAATCAATAGAATATTTTGAACTAAGAGATGACACCATACCAATAAGTTTATCGACAACTTGTTTGTTATTTATATTCTCTGCACAATAAAATTTTCGTATATTATCAAAAAACCAATGGTGAAAGAAATAACAATAGCTTTTTTGTTCGTGCCAGGGGATCGTAGATGCCTCTATTAAAAACGTGACAATACGTTTACAGAACTTTATAATATTATTGTTATTTAATCCTAATTTAACACATTCCCCATTTATATCCATTAAATTTTCTTCTTTATTCATTTCATTATATCTCTTATATGAGGGTAAATCAGGGAATTCTATTTCCTATTATTTTTCAAACATATGAAATGGTATTATATGTTTATATTCATTTTAAAAAAAAAATCTTTTACTACGCTTAAAAAAATGTAGAACATTCATATTCAGAGCTACGTATGTAATAATAATGTATATATACCCAATTTTTCATTTTTCCAAATATCGTAATATTGTATGTTCACTAAATCAAATAAGAATATTCGCAATTCCTCATTTACAAATGTAGTATAACAACGGGATATATATATATATTATTCATCAGTATAAATTAATTATAAAAACCACGTCAATGCTTACATGTAGTTATTTTTTTTTTAAAATATCAGGAAACAATTTTAATGTACTATTGCTAACATAAAGTAAGAAAATGTTTAATTATTCAAAAATGTACAAGGAAAAAATTATCCTTCTGCACGGTGTCATTTAATATATTATCATACAACCCTAGTAATTAGTAATAATATAAATAATTCATTTGCTTACATACCATTGTTGATTATTTCTTCTTTCTGAGTTATCGTCTATTGAAAAAAGCAGTTACAATAATATGTATACATTTTCTACAAATAATTGATATTTTAATTATGCAACAAAAGGGGGAAATTCGTTTTACTAAGGAATTACCTTCATTTACCGGTTGTTAATGTTAATTATTTTCTTTTGCATTTTTAAAAATAAACATATTCTAAATTTATAATTTGAAAAAAACGAATACCTTTTGATGTAAAATAATAAACATTATATTTTGTAATTAAATTTAGTTCATAATATAAAAAACATATATTTTTTGTCACAAAATGCTATAAATTGGTGTATATTGCGCAATGAGGGACGTTTCACGATGAATCCATTGAACCTTGCAGTGCTTAAAATTTGTAAAAATAGAGAAAAAAAAAAATTGTTTCATACAGTTTTCATTTTTTAATACTTATAAAATGAACATAGAAAGATTGATATTTTTCTATATTTATATAAAATAAACAATTATGATAAATATTAAAAAAATACATCTGAAAAAAATAAATGACATACTCATTATTTATTCTCTAAAAATAAAATAAAAACGCTTAAATAACCGTTTTCATTGTCCGAAAGAAAAAATATATAATAGAAAAAACAAGAAGATGCTTAAATCTAACTTATGTTGTAATTAAAACGTGCTATTTAATTTGTCACAATAATACAAAGACATCTTGAAATTAATACCTTCCAGACGCATCTTTTTGAAACAATAAATGAAGGAATGAATATATTATATTTAACAATATAATAAATTATTACGTCACTTTTATTAATAACTCATTAAAACTAAACATTCACAACTGTGTTTATTAAAGTATAAAAACATAACAATGAAAAAATGTTTTAAATATTATGCCGTTATGAATCTACAAATTAGCATGCAACATTTTTTTTTTTTAAAACGAATTATCATCTTATCACATGCGAAATGGAACGTTGTATTTTCTCATTGTATATAAATGTACATAAATCATTTGCATTGTTTCCTTGTTTCAACAGTGTTCTGTATTCGTAATGTAATAAATATATTAATGTTGTGCATATGATCAAAAAAATTATTTTCACATTGTTTAAATACTTTCATTGAGGTGTCCCTTAAAACATATGTTTTTATATATTCACTTTTCCTATATCTTATTAGTTTATCTGTTGTTCAAATAGATAAAATAAAAATAAAATAATCAATATGGATTCATTAAAATTATTATACATAAAAACATTAATACAATATTACATAATAAGGGTCTAATCTCAATATAACTTGCTGTTAACTCATTAGAAAAAGTTCGCATCATCAAATTTTATAATGGAAAGAATATTTTTTTTAAAATCCGGGAGAAAATTATATTAAAACAAATAATATTTTTTTCCGCAGTTTGGTAGAACTCATAAAATTATATTTTGTATTGTTATATGAAATTATAACTTTATCAATAGTACTATACCATTAATTATATTGAAATAAGTATGAAAAATCTTTGTATTGCATCTAGTAGAACATAAGTAAACGTATTTTTAACTAAAATTTTTTGTTCAAAATATGTATGTATAGCATTGAAAGTTAACATTTGTTCATTATAAGCTAAAACAAATTCAGAAACATTAAAAATTTCTGTTATGTGTAAAAAGTACTTAAAATTAATAGATATATGTGTATGATATTAATGACAAAGAAAATACACAAAAAAACATTTATAAAATTGAAGAATTATATTTTTGAATTAAGTAAAAAAATATTCTTAAATAAATGTGATACCTAAAAGCAACAAATACATTTGCTTATCTAAATATGTAATGTATATATATGAAAGATGAAATAGTGAGTTATTTACAATAAACTATTTTCCATTTAAACGTTGCTACGAGTAAATATATTTCACGAATTATTATTATTCCTTTATCCATTTAACTTCTTAGAAGTAAATTAATATCCTTCAATTGAGATATTTATATATGAACATTACATAGCACAGAATAAAGAAGCCTGCAAGAAAAGTAGTAATCCTATTAACCATATAAAGTATGAAAATATAGCAAAAACTGTGTATTCAAATGGCACCTAATTTTCCAAATGTGTAAGGTAAACATTACACTTTTAAAACTTTTCTTATAATAAAAATTTGCTGTTCTGCATACTCATTTCAAAATGTTCTAATTATACTTTATTACTACTAATTATCAATGAATGATAATACCATTAAAATAGCGCTAAATTGGAAGGGCTGATATATGGTAACTTGCAAGAGAATGTAAAAAAAAAAAAAATAATATGGCGTTTTATTCAACTAACAAATTACAAACGTAATTAATTTTAAACATGTTGTTGTATATATGGAGTTTTTATATAATTCATATGTACCTTAAATATACCTTATACTTTTTAAATATAAAAAAATTGTATACACAATAAAAAAGCTAATAAGTTGTCATGTTTAAAACAATAGAGCAACATAATTTTACACACAGAGTTAGAACTTAGTAATCTTTTTACTTTATTTAATTGAATCAGAAAGTAGCAACAAAATCATAAAAATATAATAATAATAAGTATGAGTTATTTTTGCGTCCTATTATGGAAGATATAAATGTATTCTATTGCTAATCTATGTGAGAAATATATGTATGTCAATATATTTGTTATTTTTTTAGTATTAATTCCATGAAAAATGTTAGCAAATATGTTTTAGTAATTTTCAAAAAGTTGCATGATAAATTTAAACAACTGTTTATCAATTATTAGTTATATTAATTTTCTGTTCGACTTCATTTACAGAAAGGTACTATAATTGTAACCCGAATAAAATTTATGTTTCTGAAATAAAAAAATATACGGAAATATAATAAATAATCATATACCTAATAAGAGAAATTCCTTCTAAAAAATCCATTTTAACGTGTAGACATAAGAAAAGCGTAAGTAAATAATTTTAAAACTATATCTATTGTAATTTGTTGTAAATACCAAAAATAATCATTTTAATAACAAATATATTTTCTATTAATAAAATAAACCTACATAAAATTTATATGTTATTTAACCCATGCCTTTATATGCAACATTATAAAAATTAGAATATGTCAGAATAATAGCAATGCAAAGGATGTATATCCACTAAACATATTATTTTATACCCAATATAGCTGTACTCCTTTTTGCTAATAACATTATTTATGAAAAATCCATTTTACCATTAAAGAGAAATGATGTAATTCTAGGTGCTTTTACATGTTATATTACACAGGTGCGTTCTTTAGTATTAAAATAAAAAAGTTATACACATATATATGTAAATAACGCTTCTTAGAAATAGTTCTCTTTCCTTTGTAAATGTATCATTAATGTAACTTTTCAACATTTATCATTTTACTTGTTTGTTTCCATTGTATCTTGTGTCTATACGTATATATTGCGATCGTTTAATTTCTAAACCTTATATTTGTGTATAACTCAACTTGTATTAATTGAATACATAAAAACGTTATGAATTTTTTAAACAAATATACTTGTTAATACAATTATTATATAATTGTAAATATTAATGACTATTCTTGAAAATGTTACTGGTTCAAAATTTCCATATATTCACATTCAAGGCACTCTGATGATATGTTAAAACACATTAATTTATAACTTTTTTGAAGATTATTATTTGCACTAATGTAAAATTTATATTATAAAATCATGATGCTGAAATATTAAATTCCCTTCAGTAAGGGTGTCTGGTTTAGGGTTTATGCTTGAGTTTAGGTTTTAGAGTTTAGGGTTTAGTTTTATTTTTACTTTTTTAGGTGATAGGAATTATATTGTGCATATTATTTTATATATAAATATTATAATGCAAATGTGTTCAGTGATATTTTTGACAGATATATAATTTTAATTTTAATAAATATTAATCTTCATAGCATAAATGAGTAGATGCAAAACATGAAACTTGTATACACAACACAATTACCTTTGTTATCTTACACTATTGGAAACTGTTCCTAATCTATGAAAATTACATATATTTTATAAATTAAACTGTATGAAATTTAAAACATGTGGTAATCTATAAATAAATATGTTATACTGAAAGAAGAAATAGATATATTTTATTTATAAATTATATATATACCGAGGTAAATTGTTCTTATTAATTTTTTATTTAAATTCTTTAAGGTAATATTTGAATATTTATAAATATATACCGCATATTCGTATTTTATGAATGTATGTAGATTATATTTAACACTATAGATTGAAATAAATTGTTGTTTGTTAACAATTTATTTTTATTTTCTAATATTTGTCATTCCAAAAATATATTGTATAGAATTTAAGATATATTCACTAGTGTA